CACACGTCCACGAAGCTGGCCCTGGCTGGGAGAGAGCTGGTACCATCTGGCATCACTGGCTGCTGGTGCTGGGATGTGATTTGTGGCCACACCTCACTGCTCACAGTGCTAAAGTAGGGCCAGCTCTGGGCCCACGTTCTGTGAAGCAGGGTCTTGAGACCCTGCCCTACTCGGCCACCTCCTCTGCCACCAGAAAGCAGTGTCTGAGAGGCGGTCAGAAAGCCCGAGTGCCGGGGGAAGCACTGCCGTCCCGGCCCAGGTGCACTTTGCCTCTGTCCAAACAGCTGTCGCAACTCCAGAGAATTTGGAGAGTTCTGTGTTTTTCATCTTCTATTTTTATTTCCTCAAATCTAAGACCAAGAGAGGCTGGTGCCAGAGTCCTGAAGGGGTCTGTGCCAGCAGGAATTGATCCACATGCAAAGGGAGAGCATGTCTAGAAGAGGTCACTCGGAAAGGATGGATGGGCTCCAACCTGAGTGCAGGGCTGGGGCCCCGAGCAGGACGGGATTTTGTGAGAGGGGGTCTGTCCTGCCATCAGATGCTCCCCAACTTAGGACTGGAGCAGGGCCGCCTCTGCATTGCCCCACCCTGGAGGGGCCCGGTAAACAGTGCCCCCTGGAGGTGTGTGGGGACCTTCCCACTAACACCCAGCAAATGTTGACGGTGCCATTTCCACCTCCCTGCACTTTGTCTAACATGGCAGTGAGAGAACATGGCTCTCAGGCTTGTCCCAGGGATGCAGTAAGCTCAAAATGAAAGCATTTTATGTGCCTTGGGCAGCATCCCTGGACCCGAGGAGGGTTCAGGAGCTTGCAGTGTGTTTTACAATGATGCAAGCAGATCATCCCATCATCCTTCCCAAACGCATGTGAGAGTAACTGGAGTGACAAGTGATTTTGTGAAGAATTTGGAAACTATGGGTAATGATTTGGGCACATGAGGGTCACAATTCAAATTGTTCAACTCATTTGGTGGGGTGGGTGGGTTCTCACTGGGAGGACCTTGATATCCCGCTGGAGTCACTGGTGTTTGATTGTGTGCATGCTACACGCCTGGTCCTTTTTATGTATGTATTTTCTCTAATACCGTCTACAAACAGAGGTGTGTAGTGTAGCTTAGGGTCTGTGCAAGGCAGAATTCTAAGATAGCACTCCCAATTTCTGCCTGAGTTCTCAAAGGTGCAGGGATTTTTGCAGTCGTAATCAAGGCCCCTAATCAATCAACTCTTAGTTAATCAAAGGGAGGTCATCCTGGGTGGGTCTGCCCTAATCAGGTGAATCCTTAAACGGAGTAAATGAGATCCTCCTGCTGGCTTTGAAGGATTAGGCTGCCATGGTGTGAGAGGACCACATCAGGAGGACTTGATAGAGGTCTCTAGGAACTGAGAGTGACTGTGACAGTCAGCAAGAAAGTGGAGACCTCAGTTCTCCAACTGCAAGGAATTGAATTTGGCCAAAACCCCAAAAGAGGTTGAGAGAGAACCTGAGCTCCAAGTGAGGTTGCAGCCACTGACACTTTGATTGTAGTCTTGTGAGATCCAGCTACACTCTTGCTCAAACTTCTGATCCATGGAAGGCGTAAGATAATAAGTGGGTGATAATTTAAGCCACCAAGTTGGTTACAGTTATGCAGCAATAGAAAACCAATAGGCAGCAAAATAAAATAGATGGCTAGTTGCTAATCTCCGTAAAATTCTCATAGTAATAGGACCCTGATTGCTGATTTTTGACTGTGTACATTGCCACTCAGAATAAAAGATTTTATCTTTCCTGTAGCTAGAGGTGGCCATCTGACTATACTTTAGCTAATGAGAGATGAGTGTCTCCTCTTTGGGATGGCTGCTTAAAGGCAGCATACAGACTAGAATATAGATGTGATGGCTGGTGCTACAGCAGCCATCTTGGAGCATAGAGTGGACTGTGAGGATGGAAGCCATGGATTAGGATGACAGGGCAGAAAGAAAGAGACTAGATCCCAAATGGCACCATGGAGCTGCCATCTTGATCCTGGATGATTGACCTTCAGACTCCTTTTAAATGAACTAGAAATAAACTTTTTTTCTGTTATATACTAATCCTAAATAACCTAGGTGGGCACCATACTATCTCACAGGTAGGAAACTGAGGCCCAGAGAGGGTAGGAAGTTGCCCAACGTGGAGGTCCTGGCTAACTAAGTTGGGCTTTGTGGTGGAGCTGATCCCGGGCCCCTCTGCCCAGCACGCACTCCCTCTGCGGCATGACAATTCACCTCCGTCTCAAATAAATATTTGTAAGAAGGCAGCAAAGGTCTTCTCCCGGGGAAAGCGAGTGCTTCGTTGCCTCCACATGGGACCTTGATCAGACACCACACCCCATCCCAAACACCAGATAGAGGGGTTTCAGTGCTCACCCCACCTCCAGGCTCTGCAGATGAGGAGATGAGAGGCTCAGCTGGGGAAGGAAAGATTAAAATGCCACTTCCTTCTTGAAGCCCTCTCTTATTCTCTTACCCACCCCCCAGCTCTCCCCATCATGTCTTCTCCTGCTCTTAGCACTTCCTACGACCTCATCGCAAAATCCTTCTGTGGCCCTCAAAGCCATTCACACCTGGCTTCTCCTTTGCCTCATTGACTTCATTCTTGCCCAACTCACTCTGCTCACAGGGTGGGCCTCCTTGCTGATCTTCCAACCTGCCAAGCAAGTCCAACCTCAGGGCCTTTGCACATGCTAACCCTTCAGGCAAAATGCTGTTCCCTATGGTGACTACATCTCTTTCCACTCCCTTCCCTGACCATTCTTTTCAAGAGCTTGGCCATTGATATCACCCTCCCTTCCCTGTTCACTGTTTCTTCCTAATACTCATCATTACTTGCCACTAAATGACCACCTTCAGGGCCAGCTTGTCCATCGGGCACAGCAGACACTGTGCCTGAGGTCCATGGTACTTTTAGGAGCCCACAAAAATCTCTTAATGTCTTTAAAAAGGAGAAGATTAGAAACAAATACGATGTGGCCTGGTTTATATTCATCTTAGTCTCACAGCTCAGCTTATTGTTTTAAGTCACTAATTTGTACGACTTTGTTATGGAAACTAATATACTCAACTTCTCCAAAAGATCCGAATGGAGGGAAGGACTCAAAAGGTACCTGTGAGAATTTCCTAAGCAGATGTCCCCCCTGGCCACTGCTAATCCTCCCAGGCTCCCAGCAGGGGCCACACACTGCTGTCACCAGGCAACGGAGCAGAAGTCAGAGGTAAGGCCAGCTTGGCCGCACGGCAGGCGGGGCCACGGGCCCTGGCCAAGGGGAAGCTGACAGTTCAGCATCGTGTTCACAGATGAAGGCCCTTGAGCCGCTTGGAAGCAGTGGGGAGACCCCGGGCCTGCGCTCGTGTTCCAGGAACTCGGCACGGATCCAAGGACTGACATGGGGAATTGAGGGAGGTCATGTGGAGTCAGGGCTGGGGGCCAGGAGGCCCCACATTTCACGAGCAGCCCCAGGAGACTCCAACTCAGGTGAGCCCGGGGTCGGGCCCAGGCTTTGGGTTCCAATTCCAGTTCCAAGAATTAACAGCTGGTGACATTGACTCAATTCCTTCACCTCTCGGCTCCCTCTCAGCACAGCCGGGGATGCTGTCAGGCCAAGAGGGGGGAGAGCAACAATCCCGGACACAGGGGCTCCCTCTGTGAGCAGAACTGGGAGAAGAGGCACTGACACCAGATCCTCCAAGGTGACAACGAGCAAGAGAGGTGGGAACCAGGAAGGGGAATGGTGAGGGCTGAAGATGAGGCCATCGGTGCTGCGGCTGCAAACACACCTGCCCACAGGGGTCTGACTGGGAGCCACAGTGGAGAGTGGGTTGGAGAGAAACCAAAGCCTTGTCCTTTGCCCCTGAAGTATGTGGCCTTCTCAGTCTAACTTTTCCTTTCCTCCTTTTAATAAAGACACAGGTACAAATCAATAGGCATCTACAATTTTAAAAATAGCAACGGACATTCGTACCTTCATGAGACAGACAGCGGGGAGCGGTGGAGACTGCAGCCAGACCCACGTGGGCATGAGCCCCGGGGTGGCCAGATCTGCTAATCGCTCAAGCCAGAATCTTGAGATTTTTTTCACCCCCATCTTTTGATTTTCAAAAACGTGATGGCAACAAATTCACTTAAAAAAAACCAGGCAAACATATAAACACTCAGGGGGAATAAGACACGTCTGCAGGCCGCATCTGGCCTTCTGGTCTGCGGCTCTGGTCTGCAGCCTGGAAACTGAACAAAAGCTAGATCACGCATCAGGACCATGACAGGAGGGTTTGGAAATCACAGGGGCTGGAACTTGTTAGGAGCGACTGCTTCTACTGAGGCAGCAGGAGAAGACCAAGTAGCCTGGCCAAGGAGTGAGCCCGGAGTCTAACATCCATCAGGTGACCTCAGCGTGCACTTCAAAGTAAAAAGGGACCGGAGACGCCGCTCCATGCTGCACGGCTGCCCGCCGCTCTGTGCACTGCGGGCCCTGGCTGCCTTCACCGGGCCAGCCGTGGGCCAGCGAAGCTCAAGGAGGGAGCCAACAGCAGCCCCCAAACCACTGAAATAATTTGCACCGGACAATGGCGGCTCTGGGCCTGCTTTAAAGTTTTGGGTGCACACCCCCACCCCCACTACTTTTTTTCTTTCTTGTGCCTCTATTTTATTGGGATGACTAAATCTTTCAACTATGTTAGCAGTAAACACAGCTAATTTACCCCCTGCCTCTTTGAAACAGCTGCTGACAGCTGCACTGTAATTCAATCAAGCATCTTTGTAGTCGAGCCTACCAAACTCACATTCGCTGTTTGGTTCCATCCCTCCTGCCCGGAGCCCCACACAGCTGCACCGAATATTGACGAGCGGCCCTTTCTCCCCAGGGCCTGGATGATGAACAGCGTGTTAATGGTGGAGGCCAAGGCAAAGAGTTCTGAGCAGACCAAGAGAACTCCGGTGTCCAGGCGCTGGAGAAAAAACAACACAGACGTACACAGGCCCAAAACCAGAACCAAATGTCTCCTTTTATTGCAAAGTCAAAACCCTTTTCATTTTGTCTATTTGTACAGCATTTTCTCTGAGGACTGCTCTATGCAACAGCTGAAGGTCCATGAGTCTGACCATCAATAAATAGTCTTAAATAAGAAAATAAACAGGTTGGAGGGACGTGAGCGCATCATCCCGAACAAGGGGCTGGAGAGGGTCTAAAGCGAGCTTCAGATGGACATAAATAATTTCTTTGTTTTGTAACAACTATTTACATGTTTCAATGTACAAATGATGCTAGCCAGAGGCCAGTTGGGGCATACGTGGTGAGGAAACTTGCACCAAGAGGGAATCACACCAAAATCCCCAGATCCACCAACAGAGAAAACAAAATATAACAAAAACGGAGACTCCTCCCCACTGACCAGGCAGAGTGAAGGCTGCAGCCCAAGCTACTGAAGAAGAAAAAATAAAAGAAAATTAAAACAGGGCCCCTGTGTTTTCAGGAACCAACTTAATCAACATGGAGAAACTAGGACCAGATTCCAGGGGCCTCAGGCCTCAGCTGGATAACCCTGTTCTTTGTTCACAGACATCCTGGTCATCTCCAGGGCCTGCAGTACAGATGGAGGTGGGGGTGGGGCACACCATTTCGGGGACCCACCAGCCAAGGCAAGGGAGGCTTATGATAAAGCCACGTCAGAAATGGCACCTTCAAGTCAGGACATCTGATTAGAATGTCACTCTCAAAACAGCTTGTGGACCCTTCCATGTGAGGGTCACACCCCACACACCCTGTTCACAGCAGACCTCCCTCTGCGTCATCCTCCCCTGGTTAAGGGGCTGATCCTTTCGCACGGCCCTTTGATGAGGGCCTGCAGATGAAGGGAGCTGACCACGGAGGCCCTCGTCAGAATCCAGACTCTGGGACGCTGATGTCAGTGACCAACAGAGGAGCACATTTGGGGGATGACAGCCCCCTCTGCCCACCTACCCCTGTTGAGAGCTGGGTTTCCTTGGTGCTTCTCTCAGTAGGGCTGTGCCGGCCAGAACTCAGGGTCAAGTTGCAGGTTCTGTCCTGAGTGCCGTCCTCCCCCACTCTGCCACCTCTCACTGGCTCCCGACCAAGGGGCGGGGGCGGGGGCGCGGGAGGGGTTGGAAAGCCAATTCCAAGCATCTGCCGGTGCTTCACGTGGCTGTCAGAATTTCTGCCACCGCACACCCCGCTGAAAGATGATTTTTCCTTCAAGGTCAACACCCTCCCAGCTCCAAGCCGAACATTTCCCTCTCCCCTCCCAGCCAAATCTCGGGTTTGGGGCGAGTCTGCGTAAACAGTGGGCCTCACATGCCTCAGAATGAAACCGAATGGAACGGAGAGGAAACCTCCCCTCCCGCCACTGGCCGCAGCTTCTGTTTATGAAATCGGAGTAAACCAAGAAATGGGGATAAACTGTTTAGGAAAATATATCTGTAACATCCTAACCATTTTCATTCATTCGTTTTATTGTGACATTTATTACAGGAACTTCCGCGTTAGCCTTCCTTTCGTGGAGACACCGACGTGCCCACCCCTGGCCGCGCCCCCTTTCCTCCCGCTGCTGGTGGCCTGGCTGAAGGGCGCTCATAGTTACCCCTGGGAACGAGTCGGTGCACGGCTGACACTTCTCAGCCAATGATCGCGGCTGGGCCGTTTTTCTTTGTATTTTTTCCTGTTAGGTTTCGCCTGCAGCAGCTTGTAGGATCTTGTCCGTAGGAGGCTGACGAAAAACTGATCAAAAGCCATTTGCCTCTCGGATTCCTTAACACTCCTACACCGGTCAAGTTGGGGCGGGGAACGGGAAGGTCTCGCAAAAGGCAGTTGGTCTGCTGGCTCCTCGCCCAGGCGGTGGGAGGCGCTGGGTGGCGAGAGACCCAGGATCCAGAAAAACGTGGCCCCGAGGGGTCTGATTCCAGGAGGGGCTAGTGGCAGCCACAGGCCCGGACCACCATGTTTCTGTATTTCTTCAGGATGACGTTGGAGCTGTCATCGAAGTAGAGGACGGAGATGGCATTGAGCTGAGTCGGAGCACAGCAGGGCTTAGGCACCGTTTCCGGGTTGATGAAGTGAACCTGGAACACACACCAAAACGTTGGCGGGGTGAGACCCGGTGAGTCACTTCCCCCGCCTCCTTATTTCTATAAGGAACAGGTACTGCTTCCTTAAAATCACCGTAGGTGACACTTAGTGAGCACTCCCAGTTCTAAGCACTTGCTGGATAACTAACTCAGTTCTGTGGGTGATTCTTGTTTCACAGATGAGAGAACTGAAGTACAGCGGTTTACACAGCTGGCAAGTTACTGGCCAGATGAGACATTCGGGGCCAGGTCATTCTCACTGGTGGGGCTGTCCTGTGCATTGTAGGGTGTTCCACAGCATCTCTAGGCCACACCCCCTAGAGGCCAGAGGCACTCCCCCCACCCCCCAACCGCGACAACCAAAAATATCTCCAGGCACTGTCAAATATCCCCTGGGAGGCAAAACTGACCCCAGTTGAGAGCCACTGGGCTAGACCAGGGTCAGCCTGTTGGCCAAACCCTGCCCTACCACCTGTTTTTATGAATAAAGTTTTACTGGCACACAGCCACACCCATTCACCTACACAGTGTCTGTGGCTGCTTCTGTATTACATCAGCAGAGGTGAGCGGTTGCAACAGACATTTATGACTCTCAAAGTAAAAACTATTTACTGTCTGGCCCTTTTCAGAAACAGGTTGCTGACTCCTGGGCCAGACGTATCCTGCCCAAGAAACAAGTATCATGCAAATCGCGCATGTAACTTAAAATGTTCTAGCAGCCACACTTAAAAAGCTGAAAAAAGAAACAGGCGAAATTAACTTAAAGAACATACTTACTTCAACCCCGCATTTCACAAGTATCATCACTTCAGCGTAGACTTAACGTAAGAAGTCACTAGTGAGGTACTTTACCTGCTTATGTTCTAAGTCTTCAAACCCGGTGTGTATTTTATAGTCGCAAAACATCTCAATTCAGACTGGCCACACATCAAGGCTCGAGAGCCACATAGAAAAGCAGTTACCATATTGGACAGTGTAAGTCTAGACTCCATTAGACTATTCTGTCTCTTGAGCAATAAAAATAAGAGGAAAAGAATGTGGACAAACATCAATGAGGAAAGAGAAGGTCCAGAAGGTAACAATGAAGGAAGAAGGCAGCCAGCTGCCCAGGTTTATTGTCCTTGTCCACTCATGGGCTTCTATGCACCTTACAGAGGATGAGGGTTGGAGTGGGGGCGGGGGACAAACTCAAATGCCAGTCGGGCCACACACGTGCCACTGATGACCAACCTCGGCTAGGAGTGATCAACAGGGGATAGTGAGGACTGGTGCAAACCGAAAGCAGACAGCCACAAGCTGACCACAGCCAACCGAAGCCAGCGCAGTCAGATGTGCCAGTGCTCGGGACAGGCCAGCGGTTCAGTCCTGTTTTCTTTTTCTGTGCAACTTCAGGTTTCCGACACCACGGGGGCCAACTGAAAATGCTACAGATGACCCTCTGAGCCCCAGTCTGTGACCTCTCACGTAAGGCAGCACACTCTTTTAAACTGTTTTTATGGAAAATTTCACACCTGACAAATCTAAACCATCCCCCATCTCCTCCACCCTCGAATAATTTTAAAGCCAATCTCAGATGTCAGCTCGTTTCCTCTGGACTTCACGAGGACTCTTTAGACGGCAAGGATTCACCCTCTTTTCAAACATGACCCTCATTTCAGAATAATCAAGAGGCTTCATTCTGACCCTCGAGCTCTCTGGGGAAACGTGGATTGAGTGGTTGGTCACAGGGCAGCCGGGCTGGCCCCTGCTCCGAGGGCCAGGAAGGCAGGGCTTGAAGGAGGGTGGAGGTGTGCTCCTGGCAGCCAGGGAGACACCCCCATCACCTCCCGGGGTCCTTGGAGCAGGACAGAGCAGGGGAACACTGACACAGGGGACAGGTTCAGACCGAGGAACAGGCTGGGGACACTATCCATTTCCAGTCTGGAGACTTTCAAACCTGAATTGGACTCAGAGTTTACTGTTGTGGGAGGGAAGGCCCTGGCAAAGCAATGCTAAATAAACAAAAAAAGGGCAGAGCCGGGTCCAAATAAAAAGAACAGAGAAGAAGTAAGACATGGGGCGGGACAAGGAAAGAGCGAGGCAGGTTACTAAATAAAAGCACCAAGCTCTGTAACAAGCAGACCTGTGGGACAGAGGGGCTGACTCTGAGCAGTGAGCACTCCGTCCCTAAAGGCATTCAAGTCAAGGAGGATGACCAGTTGTCAGGAAAGGCGAGATACTGTTCATAACAGGGAGGTAGACCACCAAGTTTCCCTGAACCTCAGATTCTAAGCTAAAGAACAAAGCCCCTAACTCGTATCACTGCTGGCGTTGTTAGTAAAGTGGTAAAAATAACATTTATTGAATGTCACCAGTGCTGGGCACCCTTCTAAGAGCTTTTAATCTCGTCATCACACTGAATCCTCCGATGACCCCAAGAAAGTTCAAAGTGCCCCATGGCTAACACCCCGCCCTATCTCTGTAAGATATTATCTTATTTGCCATCTTCCTATCATGTCCCCTCTCCCTGAAGTTTCCTCATTTGTTCACTTGACTCTTCCTCCCCTGGAAAATGAGGCTCTTAGGGCTGGGACCGCATCTGTATTGGTCCCTGTATGCTGTTCCCTGCGGTGTCCTCAGCTCCCAGCACACAGGGTCCACATGCAGTAGATGCTCAGTAAACACCCTTGAATGGCTGAACCATGAAGTTCGAGGCTAGGAGGCAAAGATGTAAGCTCTGGGAAGGAACAAGTTCTCAAGCCTGCCCAATCTGGGGGCAGCCCAGACACTGGGGGCGGGGGGCAAAAGTCAGGGAAGCCCATGGAAGTGGACGCTGACAGCCAGGAACAACCATCCCCTAGACAGAGGCTGGGCCAGGGCGACCTTTACCCGTGATACCTTTAGGAGCCCATGAAACTGTTTCAATTTCTTTTAAAATTAGGAGAAATAAATGAACTTTAGGGTTGAAGATTACACAGAAAGATTACACATGCATATTATTAAGTGTAATTTTTAATCTTATTTTATGGAGAAAGGGCCCAAGACAGTCAGCATGCCCAGGGTTCCTGAAAGTCATAACGTCACCTTGGCCGGAGATCTGCAGTGGCCCCAGCTTGGAGGACCACGAGGCAGGATCTGGTGGCTCTGCTCCCGTCAGTTGACCACACCCCAGACGGTGCAGAGGCCACACTCACCAGTGTCTGCACAATGGCGTGGTTGGTGGCATTCATGTAGGAGTTCAGAGGGAAGGCGCACTCCCCCTCGCAGTAGTAGGCGGCGTAGCCTTCGGGCGCGATGATCCAGTCCTGCGGGAGGGAGGGGAGGGCGTGGGGGCGTGGTGAGGGCCCCATCCAGAAACCCAAGGGAAGTGGGGGCCGCAGGGCCCCACCCTCCAGGCCGAAACCTCCTCCCGTGGGCCAGACTCCATAGATCCCAGAGGTCAAAGGCACGGCCCACACCTGCCCGGGCAGCCGGGGCTCCTGCAGGGGCAGGAGAAACAGGTGGCAGCCCTTCGTGACCAGAACAGACTGCAGAAAGAGGGAAAGGCCACAGGGGGCTGGGCTGAGCCCAGCATGGACCCTTGCTCTTCATCTGAAGGTGGCACAGAGAGGGGTCACCAGGGTGGCATCCACCTTACCCCAACTAGGTGGTGACACGTGGGCAGTCTGCTTTACACAAAACCTCCAGGCCTCACCTGGGAGAGAGTGGATAAGTGCAGCCAGCCCAGCCTGATGCCTGGGACACATGTGCCACTCAGTAAAGGGTGAGCGGGGTCGGGTCAGCACAGAAATGTCGTTCTAGCAATAAACAGACCCCCACCCCCCACCCACCAAGTGACGCAAGTCTGTTTTGGGGCTCTGTTCCAGCACAAGAACAGAAGCACCCCTAGGCCATGAGTGTTGTCATCAGAGTGAGGACAGGACTGCAGGGGGCACGAGTGGCTGTGAGCACACGTGCCCCGGGGGTGTATCTGGGAACCCCCCGGGAAGCCTCTGGACTCTGGCTGGATGGCAAGCTCGCTGAGGGGACAACAACAAAACCAGTGGCCCTGGTGACTTTAGGACAACGCCCTGTCTGGGGATGCTCGGGCTCCACAAGGGCAGGCCCACTGCTACATCCCAGGCTGCATTTCTGGTGCCTAGAAAAGAGCCCAGAATGTCAGTCTCATAAATCGTTGTGAGATCATATGACCCTCACTCCTTTTCTCGGATTCATCCCCTGCCCTTTGCCCGGCTCCAGATGGTTCCAGAGGGGCAGCCATGTTCCTTCAACATGATCCCACCCATGAAACAGCTGATTGGCTCAGGGACAAGCCCGTGACCCAAGCTGGGCCAATCAGAGCCTTCCCTGGGAATCTGACTCACAGAAGTGGGGGTGGGCAGATGAGGCAGAGGGTGGGAGCCTGCTCTCCAGGCAGCTGGATTCTGGCCCATGCACCCAGCCACGTCTGAAAGAAGCAGCCAGTGCAGGACAGAAATGGGGTTTATGTGGAGAATGAGGTTCAGAGTCCAAAGTGTAGGGGTTCCTGGTTCTGGCTTGAGCCTCAACCACATTTTTGCTCTTGGGTTTCGTGAGGCATCCCTGGAACCTGGACCTAAATCTTCTACTGTGGTTGGGACACTTGATCCCAGAGCCTTAACTGATATAGATGAGAAACAAGACCCACTGCACATGCGGGACACAGCCCCATCGTTGTGGGGGGAGCACGGGGGAGCCCGCACCAGAGGCCCCCGACACCCAGGGCAGAGCCGCCAACCTCCCGCCCCACCTCCGCTTACCTGCCAGCCCAGGTCTCGGAAGCTGACGTACAGCTCATGCTTCTTACAGGCCTGCCTCTGGTCACTGCTGCTGTTTTCTGCGTTGACAAGGAAGCAGGGGAGCAGGATGGGGGAGCGGGAAAGGAAACACACACACATATTACACCTTCCTCAGTCTAAGGCAGTTGTATGAGCACAAAGTCTGAAAGCTGCAGGGTGACTTTCCTGACACAGAAGTTCAAGCACCTGTAGCCTCACAACTCACTTCCAGCCCCAGCAAACAGCCACCATAAGGGAGGTACCAATGCCTCTGCTCCTCTCACGCAGTCTTAGCTCACAGCTTTCTCTCCATCCTTCTGTGGACACTGGTTTCTCTAGTTCAGATGCTGACATCTGCCCAGGTTCCGTACGGGAATCAATCTCCATCCACACCCCACAGTGCTGACTCCAAGAGCCTGATCGGAGGGACCGATCAATCTCACCATGTAAGACCAGCCCACCTCCCAATGCTCAGCCCTCTGGAGGGGGTGAGAGGAGGCACAGATGGAGCCAGGAACAAAGCCCCCACCACCAAGAAGAAATGAGAGGGCAAAAAGTCAAACCCCACTGACCTTGAGAAAAACACAACACTGAGGTTTCTTTGAGGAATGAAAATTATGCACTGGGGTTTTCCAGAAGTATGTAAGGTTTGTAGGCATTTGGGATTAGGAATTGAGGACTTGTAAACATGTAGAAATCTCTGTTTCTGTCTCTCTGTTGTCTCTCTCTGTCTCACACACACACACACACACACACACACACACACACACTGCTGCCACTGCACAATCTCCTCCACACACAGAAGCTAGAGGGATTCATTTTTTTCTTTAACCATGACCTCAGCTCCTGCTTTGGCCTGTAAGGTGATATATGGCCCTGACTCCTGAACCATCAACCACACAGTTCCATTCATGACAGCCTTCTTTCTGTGCCATGAATGTGCTGCCAAGCCCGTCCCTACCTCTGGGCCTTTGCACTTGCTGTTTCCTCTACTTGGAATGCTCCTTCTCAGACTCTTTGTATGTCTGGCTCCTACTTAGTATTCAAGCCTTGGCTTGATGTCATCTCTTCAAAAAGGCCTTGTGAGATCACCGTTGGATTCCCAGAGCCCAAAGTCCACCAAAATTTGTGGAACAAACACACACATACAGGAGGGGTCCCTGCCTTAGCTTCTTCCACTGCTCTGACCCACTCAAGGCCTAAGTGTCCCAGAAGGTCACAAACACCGGTGGGTGAGGAGCAGAAGGAGAACTTATTGCAGGAGGGAGAGGCACTGGGGTTGCCAAGGAGATGAGCCAGGGTTGCCTGTTCAGTTGACCTGCATGGGTAGACATTCAGATACCTCCAGTTCCCATCGCCTGGTCTGCTCTCTCAGATGGCCTGGTGGGTGGCCCCTCCCAGTGGACGGGGGTCCTCATGGCAACCCCAGCTGTTGCCAGTGACTGGTTGAGAACCCAGTCCTGAGCTCACCGGCTCACATCCTGACCTTGGAATGAGCACTGGTTCAGATGAGGGCGAGTGACCCAATCCATTCCTCCTAGACCTTGGACTCCACTTTGCAAAGTGGGGACAGAGGGCCCGCACCTCCCAGGGCAGCCTTGACCGCTGGAATGGGGTCAGCATGCACGGAGCTCACAGCATCCAGCTACTTGTCATCATCCTCCCAGTCTGCCGGTTACGGACGTTTAGAACTATGCACGTGCTTCATTCACACGCACACTCTTCACCTATTTGGAGTTGATAACCATTTCCTTCAAATCTAATGGCCTGCCATCAGGGAGTCTGGCAAAAGGTGAAACACCCCTCACTTTTCTGCTTTCCCCTGATTCACAAGGACTCTACCTGTACAGTTGCTGGGTTGATGAGAAATGGTAAGAGAAGAAGGGCATCGCTGAGTGTCCCTCCCTGGGTCTCAGTTTCCTCAACTGTAAAATGGGTGTGGAAGCTGGGTGGCAAGAGGACTTCATATCCATAAACCTGGTGACCACACGCTGCAAATCAGGCAGCCTCCTCGGACACATGCTGGACTTCACATTGTCCGGGAAACCTCCAGGGACAGGCACCTGGACCCCCCCGCCTTGGGCTGAGAACAAGGTTGAAAGGAAATGGGGGTGGGGTGAGGAGAGAGGGTGGGAAGGAGACGGAAAGAAGAAGAGAAATGGGGTTGAGGACAAGAGGACAGCTGAGGGGCACAGCAGTCATCAGAAAATGGTCTCCACTGTTTTCCAGAAATGCTTAGACCCCAGATGAACAGGTGTG